GCCACTGATTTTATCATTATACATTATTTCTAAGCCCCTTTCAACACCAGTACCATCAAAGCCTCGCTGGGTTGTGAGAGCTAAGTTAAAGATCCATTTGGATATTTTATCTATTAGGAAACTAAAGTGAATGAACTGTATGAAAATAAAATAAAAAATCTAAATTGCAACTATTATGATCATTTTTTTAGGTATTCAGATTGTAGAAGTGTAGGATGAAAAGTTTCATGGGGAGGATATGAGGAGGTGAAAGTTCTTAGGTGAACAAGGAAGTGGAGGAAACTCAAGATGGCATATACATAGATATGTATATGTATATGAGATATTCTTGGATGCTATTACTAAAAAGACTATTCTGCGAGCTGGCAGCCTATTTTTCTGTTTTGAAAAACAGGCAGAGGAGAACTTTACAAATTATCTGTACCATTTGAACTTAAGACAAATTAGAAGACTAGCAGGTTTCTACAGTACCAGCTCTCAGAACTCTGTTGAAGCAGCATCTGGTCAAAAGGATGGTTGCACTGGTCAAAAGGTTGTGTTAGAATAAATAAAATAATCTTAGCCTGTTTCCAAGCCTCGCATTTCACACTGTGAGGTAAGGAAAGTATTGTTATGAAGAAAATAGTAATTATACAGAAAATTAGCTTGTAAGACTGAATTATTAATCATAGAAAATACTTACTATAATTCAGAACCTACATAGGTAGCACACATGGATTACTTGTAAATATAGTAATATAACATCCACTGGAAGGTAATTTACATTTAATTATGGTTTTTAATTTATGAACATTAGATAAGCATAACTGGAAACAAATAAAATGGAAATCTGGGATCTGAGCCCCTTTTTGGAGTTTGAAAACACAAGAGAACTTTAAAGTTACATAGTTACTGATGCATATCACACTTGCATTTATTCATCTGAGGTAATCTGCAGTTACTTAGCCACAGAAGGATATAAAGAAGATGCTATTCATCTGAAACAATGATCCTTTTACTTATCGTAGTTGCCACGTGATGTACATGGCCCATTTAAATGGAACAATCTTCACAGAGTTATAAAATATTCATTAAAAATTTTCAGGTAACTTGCAATTCAAAATGTTTCACAATATCTGCTGTGGATTAAAAAGGAGTTTTTTTTCTTCACAATAAACATTTTTTAACTGACTCCACTTTTACATGCATATGTATTTATTCAAATAGTGGTCTTATCCATCTATTCTGTTTTAATAGACTTCCTTGAACCCAGTTTTTGATACAGTGCTTTGTGTGAGGCATAAATCAGGCTTAAAGGGCCCTAATTTATACATCTGTAAAAATTTGCATGGTTAATTATTTGTATTTCCAAAGGAAAATGATCACAGCAATGTCTGGTGATGGTTCAGATATCTTAATTGTGGGTGTTAATTTGAATGGAAAACAGAATGATGGATAAGGGGGAAAAGAAAGGACCAAGGAGACTGTTTTCACAAAGCAGCATGAAATACTCATACCATTTTCTTTTTAGTTTCCAAAACTAATTCTTTCTGGCAAATGACTTTGGAGCTGATGTTAGTAACCCTGAAAAGAAACCTGCATTTCAGTATTTCAGCTGATGTGGCTGGTATGCTTACAAGCGGGTCTGATTCCCTGGGCTCCAGCTGAGTTGTGTGGGTTTATGCCAGCAGTGAAGGAGTCCAGTTTGGTCAGGGAAGTGTTCTCCAGCTTCTGACCATCATTATGGATTCAAACCATCAAACTATGGATTCATTTCTTCATGTCTGGCAGCCCAGTCTGTAGAATCTCTGGTATATGTGAACACAACTGTTGCATACCAGGTGACCTGCAAAGACAACATCAAAGAGTTTCACCCCACAGTAGTCTGGACAAAATGTTGGGGCCAAAGCCTCTCAAAGGATTGTTCCTCAAGCATTTTAGTTGTGGGACAAAATGCTTGTAAAACTGAGCTGGATGTTTCTGTAGCCAGGTGATTGTAAGAGGTTTTAATTTCTTTGTGTTTAGTGCTTCTGTGAAGGCTCTGTACCTCTCCAGACTCGGCTTATGCAGGGCCAGTTCAGCTCATTCAGACCTCTGGGCTCAGCCTGCACTCAAGCATGTAGAAATCAATACTATTGCAGTTGACATGGGAAGACCTAAATTCCTCTTCAGATTTGCCTCTGTCTGCCACCCAAGTTGCTGTACAAGCTTTAGTGACATAGATCGCCACACAGTATTTGGAACGACAGAAGTTTTAACGGTGCTAGCATAGTAGTAAAAAGTCACTATGATGCTTCTGAATCATTTCTGGCCTTCTAAATGCTGTGTATTTTATGAAGGTATCAAAGATGTATTGATTTGGGGCCACCTCAGGAAACAGTCGAAAATCTGAGCATGAGTTCTGGGTCTCCTGAGAATTCCAATTTCATTGTGAAAGCAGATTTTGTGACGCAGATCTTGCTCCAAAGGAAACACAAGCAGATCAGATGATAGAGCATGGTTTGCTTTTAAGAAGCTTGGCAAGAGCAAACAGCAGGTATTGAAATAAGTGGAATTCACTTGTGGTGCAGGCCCTGTATCAAAAAAAAACCTACCACCCGCCTCTCTGTCTCAGAGCAAATTAGGCAGATCACATTAGGCATCAATTTATTCTGCAGAAGCCAATAAACAATTTTCAGATGGAGATGCCTAAAAAATCTAGCGTAGTTAAAGAGAAAGGATATCCTGGAAAGAGAAGTTTTTAAATATCCTTAACACACTTAGAAATTATCCATCTCAAAACAGGTAGTATAGTGAATGTCAATCTAGATTTATCCACTTGTAATATGTATAGGCTGAATGAGCTTTTTTTACAGTTATCCTCTCTGAGTTACTATGAATTTATAATGCTGCTCCTTAACACTTGTATTTGTCTACACTAAAGATGCAATAATTTATTAAGATGGTAATAAATGTTTAATACTCCTTGTCTGTATCATTTTATAAAACTAGCTAGATAACCCCATGATTCTTTAAAATAAAAGGACAAATATGAAACAAAAATGTCATTAAAAATGGATTTAATTATTCACAGAATTTTCAAAATGTGGAGCTTTTTGTTCAGAACTTCTGTTATTCAGTGTATGTAAGATACTCAAGATGTAAGAATCCTATGTTTGGATTAATGTGTTAGGACTGACAGTTATAATCAGGTTGGATTTGGTTACCTTTTTACATATACATACATACATATATATATATGTAAGTGGCCACATACCATCTGCATTGAAAATTTAATGCAGACATTAAAAAACGTGACTGAAAATCCTTATAAAAATCAGGAAATTGGCTTAAGATCAAGTAGTATTTTAAAAATGCATATTAGACTCTAGTTTTACTTCATATTTCTGACAGATTAGAATTTACCTATTTCTCATTCTCTTTGCCTCACATCTCTCAGTGCAAGCGAGCTACTTAGGGTACCTTTCAACTGAGCTGAGATTAGTATTTAAACACTTACGGAAAAACATCAGAGAGAACAGAACTTCCTATGTTGTTCTGATGAGTGATGTACTACTGTGATTTAAGCAACACACCGAATGGCCAAGGCTACTGTCTTGGTTTCAGTGTAAAATTGTGGGAGTACTCAAGATGGTTTGCAAGAAAGTGTGAGATAGTCAAGTTTGTCCATTTCATTCAAATTGCAGTAGGTTATCAATCATTAAAGTATTGTGTAGCTGTTAGAATAGCTTTAATTAGGGAATTCATCATTCAAAGGGAGAACGTGAAGAGGATGGGGCCAAACTCCTTTTAGTGGTGGCCAGTGACAGGACTAAGAGTAATGGGTACAAGTTGAAACACAAGCAGTTCCACCTCCATGTGAGGAAGAACTTCTCTACTGTGAGAGTGACAGAGCCCTGGCACAGGCTGCCCAGAGAGGCTGTGGAGGCTCCTTCTCTGGAGATCTTCCAAACCCACCTGGATGCCACCCTGTGCCCCTGCTCTGGGTGTCCCTACTGGAGCAGGGGGATTGGACTAGATGGTCTCTAGACGTCCTCAACCTCAACCGTTTTGTAGTACAGACAACCAGTCTATCTGTATTGCAATACATGACATTTGGGGTATGATTTTTGGATGTAACTGTTGGTGGGTTACAATAATTTCAAATTTGCTTTCAAATAATTTCAAACCGACATTTTCTAGATTGTGACTCCAGCTTTTAGTGACTCACTGCTTAGTGAGTGTTTGTTATTGATAAGTTTTTTATTACTATTTTAACACTTCATTTTCAAAGATTTTATTTTTACAAGTTATGCAATGAGATGTTTAGGAATTTCCAATAGTCAAGAAAATAAATAAAGCTTCCTCTTTTTACATCAGGTCAGACTATCCTGATCTATTGCTTTGTTTGTGTGTTTGGATGGGCAGCTGCAGTGAAAACTTTAATATCTGTGATCAGAAAATTCTGCCACAAAAACAGTTCAGTGACCTGATGGAATTTTTATATACTAAAAAATGTTCAAAATCTTGATTTTTTAATCTTAATGTTAATCTATGTTACTCAGCATAATAAGGATGTGATTCAAAATTATAATCTCCAGTTTTGTGAAGACATCAGTTACTAGAAGACCTAATTAGGGTTAGTTACGCTAGTCTATGATGTAACTGAGGAAATGCTAGGGAAAAAAAGAAAAAGTTTAGTTTTGATTTTCCTCTATAGTTTCTATTAGGTTAACTTTTTATTTTTTTATTTTTTATTTTTTTCCAAGTGTTAAAAAGGTGTAATAAAGAAACTGATAAATGCACTTTTTAAAAAAGAAGATATTAAGAATTTTTTTAAAAAGTTTATATTTTCTTCTATTTATCAGTGCTTAGTTATCTTTGTAATACAGCTGCATTCCGACATCTGTAGCCATGAAACAGAACTTTTGACTCACTTTGTAGGCGACTATTAGGATGAATGAATTCTCTGCTTGTTCTCTTGCTTGTTGTCATTTAAAGACTAACCCCTTTCTTTTTCCTTCTCTTTCATCTCTCCAGCAATGACAATGCAGTTCATAAGTCATCGGTTCCCTGACTATCATGATCCAACTATAGGTGAGTAAGGATTATTCTGCCCTTCCTCCCTCTCAGTCTTTTTGCCTATTTGAGATATTCTGGAGTTAGAATTAAGATTTGTAAATTGAGATTAAACCTTATTGATCTGATGACAATTAGATTGTGTCATGGTCATGTCAGAGTAATTGGCTTTTGAAATTCTTTGCAGAAAAACTCTTTTAACAACAGATTTTTGGCTTTATAACTCATAGTGGTTGTTTGATTTTGGTCTCAGAAAGGAAAACAAAAACCTCACAAGAGAGAAAATAGTGTTTCAGCATAGTAAACTGTAACTCAAGAATTCTCAGAAATTATCAGTCTCAGATAAATCCAAGATCAATTTTCTCAACAAACCTCTAATGTCATTACCGTACATTTTTGTTTGGACCATTTACACTAAGTGAAAAATTAAAATGTATAAGATAAAGCCTACAAAATGGTAATTTCTAATAAAAATCTAATTTATATGTCCATTAAGTTAAAAAAGAATAAAAGAAGAAAAAGTTCAGATAAGAAGAAATAAAAAAGAAAGATTATGACTCTTTTACAGAGCTTAGCATGGTTTGCCAGTGACCTGAAATATGTACTGCCATATTTGATATATCTAGATGAAGGAGGTGGACAAGAGAGTCTTGAAGAATTTAACAATTCACCATTCACTCAAGAAAGATGACGAGTTAGTCTTTGCATAGAGCATATCACTTATATTAAAAGTGTATTTCACCTCCCCAGTCTGAGGGCGAGAAAGATTATCTAGTATAGTTAGCTTTCATATTGTGGATATTAAGACTAGTACAACCAACCTCTACAAAATTACTGCATGGCTAAGTAGATCAGCCAACGGTAGTATTTCTTTTAATTTTTCATGTCTATAGTACATTCCCTGGATATTAGCTTCTGATGAATGGTGATTTTTAATGAAGGAAAAAATTATTTATGAAATATTTACACATGTAGAAATTTTATAATTGTTGCAAAAATCTCAGAATAAAATTGAATTTATCTGTGGGAAACTGAGAAGCCATGAGAAACTGTGGGAAGCTGTGGGAACAGTGAAAGTTAGGAGTGAGAAACTGTGAAAGTTAGGAATAACAGATTAGCAGATAGAGAAACCTAAAACACAGGCTGGGCGCACCGATCTCTGGTTGGTTACCTGTTGTCCGTTAGCAGGATTGGACCCAGATAGCAATAGAGTCAAGGAATTGGCTGGAGGCAGGGAGAGGGAGCGCATGGACAGCGTGTGGACAGTGTATGCTCACATATCCTGAGACTGGCTTATTTTCTGTTCGCACTTCAAAATATGTACTAAGCAGCAGGGTATAATCTTGTGCTATAAGTACCTATGTGTCCTGTTGGATGTATTTCCAGTATGACCACTCAACTTTGGACAAAATAAAAAAAAAAAGATTAATTAATAAATAGAAGAAATCATTTGTTGTATGAAATATAGTAGTAAATACCTTTTAAAAATCCCAGTATACTGAAAAAAGTTTATATGATTGGAAGTTTCATTAGATATGGGTCTCAAATCCTAGGATTCATCTCAATGCTTCTTCTGCATTGACAGGTCGGCATATTGTAAGGTATTTTCTAGATGTCTGCTAAGATATTACAGCTCTGGCGAATTTTCTGGGGCGACAGAATAAATGGTGACCCAGAATTACCGTTATCAAGGACCAAGGCTGTATTGATAACAGGAGGTGCCTGAGGGGGAAGTATTCCTCTCAACTTTCAAGGAACGAGTCACAAAAAGATGTTTTATGTAACTGAAAAGTTATCTTTTTGAGAAAGAACAGTGATCTGTCTGGTGAGAATTTTTGTTTGTTTGTTTGTTTGTTTTCACAGTAACCCAGCAGGGATGAAAAAAGTAAAATCACGCCATATATAAAATAAACATTTACATGATATACCCTCCCACCATGCAGCAGAGAGGCAAAGCACAAAACTGAGCTTAAATTTTCAGCTATGTCTTAGATCACTGGCCTCTGTAAAAATCAATATATTGCCTTTCTTCTAAGTCATCCATTTTAGGCCCCTTTTTAATTTCTCAGCAATTTGTATCCTAGTTGTACAATTCATGAGCTGTCTGTCCTAAACTTTTCTGGACACACTGCCCTCAGATGCCTCTTTGAAAATAGCATTTCCTGCCCACCTGTGGTATTATTAGTTTGGGGCATTTTAAGCCACAGCAGTTTCTGTGAATGTCACTGAAAAGGAGACATTCCATGGAAATAACAAAAATATTTTATTATGTGACAGAATGATAATGCACAGACTTCAAACATTAACCAACCAACTGAGTCTACTCTGCTCCAGTTAATCTTTAGGGTACGGTCTATAATTTCCTTTGCTTTACATGGGCATAAGAATCTAATAAATGCCTGCATGCTTTTCCTTAATGTTCTTACACCAGCTACCCAACTCTCTCTGTTCAGGGATGGAGTAGTAATCACTATTCTTCCATGCAAATTTAGCCTTGATTTAACTGGGTTAGTTCTGACAGGAAGGGTATTATACCTGCCTGCGTTGTGATGGGGATTTTCCTAGGAGATGTACTAATAGAACAAGGAGGAGAAGATGGGAAGGGAAGTAATTGGAGGTATCTTTGTAAATGGCATTACTGTCTTTCAAATCCAAGAGTCTAATCACTTTAAAACTTGGAAGAAAATCTTGAATATCCCTCGTGACCAATTAACTGTAAATATTTAATGTTTTGCTGTCCATTTAACTACTTTAAACAATTAACTTTCCCCTTGTTTTTCCCTCCTTCCCCTTGTTTTGTTCTCGTTTGAACGTCTTACACTACTTTGGAAACTAGTGTAATATTCCTTGATATGCAAACAGTTTTGTTGTGGATTATTTAAGACCATGACCCAGTTTAACTTTTCACTCTCTGCCTTAAAATTGTCATGCGAGTGGAATAATAATTTTAGCTATTTTTTTTTCATCTCTGGTTTCTTGTAAAATAAAACCCGTGAACATTACCTCTGGTTACAAAAGATGGGACAATGAAGCCTATTCCCAAGGTACATGGCAGGACTGATATGATTTGTTGATATTCTAGGTGAAAAGCAAAGCCAGAGTAGGTTCAGTCCATACAAAAGTATAATAATGTTCATGTATCATTAAAAATCCAGAGAAATTCTTATTCTCTTTTTTTGTCATAGACTGTTGTTCTGTTATTCAGTGCATTTTGCTTGCAGTGGGAGTTTATTTAGAGAAGTCCTCTGGTTAGTGACCCAATCAGATTAAGTGATCATAGTTAAAAAAGGCTACAAAACCTCTCTTTGTCTTATTTGATAGTCCCAGTTTGGAAAAGCTGTAAGGTCTAGATAAACTCAGAGTGCTTGGTATTATGTAAAAATGTAAATAAATATACATGCACTTAAATATATTAACAGGTGTTTGTATATTTATATAGAATACTGGTAGTTAAACGATACCTGAAATGTTGATATTGTCACTTTGAGTATAATTGTACTTCCAGATAAAGCAAGAATTTCTGTATTTTAGACTTCTTGTAGCCATTCCTTTTGAGACAGAAACATATTATTTTTGTAAGTAAATGAGGAGGGGAAGGCAAAAAATTCCTTTAGTACTGGACGGAGCATATGTGAGCACAATTTCAGAGGTTAGTACTTCATGAAAATGAAATGATTTCAGCATGCATTTAATATTTAATTGCAATCAACAATAGGAACAATTTCCAAATGGCAGCGAATAGGATCATTTTCTGGAACAAATGGATAAGAGCAATTTTTGCTCCATACATTCTTTGGCAATATCACAGGGAGTTAATGCAAGCAGAGTGGCAGGAAAGTAAGCATGACACAGTGTAGCAAACTGGACAGCCTCCAAGCTGCTCATTAGCCATGTGACTAATCTTAAAATGAATACATAATGCAAAGGATATGCGAAGGCGACTTCCTGTTTTGGGGAGATATCGCTGCATGAGATTGTGTCAAATGAGCAGTTGAGGGCATTAAGGCTGTGTCAATGTCACACTTTAATTGAAATGGGTGTTGGATGGGAGGCACTTTAGCATTAAGCACATGAATTTCCATGAGATTTCCTAACATAGTAATGCATTCACTAGTGCATTAAATAAAACACATTTGAACTCATCTTTAATAAGATGATGGAAATGTATGGGTGCATTTGAGAAAAAAAGATAAAATGTGACTGAAAATATTCTAAGCATAAGCTTAGAATATTTCCAATAATACATTCCCAAAATGTCTGTATAACAAGGAATCTTTTACTTTTTGTCAGGCTACTATAATGAAGAGGGCAAAACAAGGGAATTTAGACGCCACTAATAATGATAGAATGAAAAAAGAGAAGGATTGGAATCATCTACTAGATCGGTAGAGAAACCTCTCACCAAATCATACTGTTCAGATATGTATTTAGGGTACATATAAAGTTTTTAGATCATTTCTATAATTGTCTAAAACATGTATATGTTTACATTTCATCCTCACATAAGATCTCCTACTCATTTTTCCATAAGAGGTAATGTATTTGTGCTGGGATGAACAAAATTTCACATAATTAAAATTGGTTTTGAAGACAATAACTATTTTTTGCTGTACAAGTTTCATGTATTCTAGAGCTAACCAATGGTGACCATTTTTCATTTATCATTCTGTATATATTTATTAGCCTTGTCTGAAACTGGATAAACATCTCCTAAAAATGATCTCCAGAGACTGTCCCTGTAGAAAGTCTCTTTTGTAGACCTATCCAACTGACTCATATTTTTGTTTCATATTTATTGTCATATAAAATGGAAAATTAAGAAATACATTTGAACCACATTCTTAAACTTGTGTTGTATTTGTTAAATTTTCTTTTTTGTGTCTATTGCTGTCATCTACATTATATGTCACATCAAAGAATTAATACAAGTCTTTTGGCCTCCTTTAAGACTTCTGTCATATTATCTGGTCCTCTGTGGATATAATATCTCACAAGACATATGGAGAATTCATGCCCTT